TTTTTTTTTTTTTTTTTTTTTTTTTTTTTTGTTCAAAAATTGGATGAGCTTTGTGAGGTAATCATAAATTTTAGTAACTGATCAACAGTTCTGATCGTCTGAACAGCACTGTTATTTATGGCGTTAGTTGTTCAACAGATTTGATGAACTGTTATAGCCGACAGTTCACAGTTTATCAGACGTTTCAAATAGGGGTGGGGGGTGCGGGGGAGGGGGGGGGAGGGGAAAGATGGAGGATGGAGGGAATAAAGGCAACAAACAGATTTTAAAGCTTTTAAATTAGACAAAAATATATTGGATTTTTTTTGTCGTTAATATCAATGAACAACTTTTTTTTTTTTTTTTAACACTATCAATAATATTTGGTTGACATTTGAACAGCACCTGCCAACAGTATCAATTGCATTGATAGTTGTTGATAAATATTTAAAAACTAAAAATCTGTTTTTTTTTTTTTTGTTGGCTAATATTGGCTAAAGAAAAAAAGATGATTAAATCAACATAAAAATTAAAAATTTCACTCTTTTTTTTTTTTTTTGGTATCTGCCAACTTTTCGTATCTTTTGGTATCTTTTAAGTACATTTCCGCAGTTTGTATAAATAGTACTCTTTTGGGTAAGTGGGTAGGTTACGCTAATCAAAAAGAAATAATTATTTTTTTCTTTTTGATAATTAAATATTAATAATGTTACTCAGCAAATTTATCAAAATTTTTACTTATTTAATATAGTGAATGAAATTTTAAATATAGTCAAATTTTTTTTAGTTCTATTTTTTCTTTTCTATTCTTTTGAATATTTTAATTTTTGAAGGGAAATAAGGAAGTGGAACGAACGACTAAGCAGCAACCATTGTGTTGACAATTTATTATCATAAAAAAATTATGTGTTAATTATATTAGACTTTGATATTTCCTTCTTTATTTATTTATTTATTTGACTTTTTTTTGACTCATCATTAACTGTACAACTAATCGCCTATTCCATCACTTTTTTTATTTCTTCTTGTCTCAGTCTTCATAATTTTTGTACTTTGTTACCACTG